ATTCAGTATTTATGGGGAACGTTAAAGCAGTGATGTTGGTCAGTAATTACCCTTTTATTGGATTATTTCAATGCAAACTGTAGGGTGCTTCTAAGTTGATGCAGGTAAATAACTTTTTAAAATGACTTAATAATAATGCTGCATGCTGCGACACATTTTTCACTGCACTTTTAGTAAGTAGCTTCATATTCACGAGTATAGATACTAAGTAAAGAAAACGTATACGCATATTTCCCAAACTAGTGTCTTTAGCAGTGTGGGGGGGGAGACCATATCTTGATCCCCTGCTGAATTTGTAAGTTTGCTCACTTACAAAGAAATGAACAGTATCTTATTTTTATATTAGTTTCATTTGAATGGACCTTTCATGTCTTGCTAACTGCAAATTCAGCAGTGAATCAAATAATTATTTAATTTTCCCGCTGTGAGTGTATTTTTTTTTCCTTTTTATTTACAGTAACTATTGAAGCTGAGACCCTCACTTGCAGAGATTTTTCGCATGGAATTTATACGTTTTGAACCTCTTGTTAAGGAAGCTCAGATGTTTCTCATTTACAGTATATTTTACTCTTTTCTAATGATATTCACAATATGAATTATTCAAATCCCCAAGCTTAACTTGTGCCAATTACTTTGGCTGAACTTACTTCAGTTTAAAAAGTCTAAATTGCTCACCTGATTAATGCTGATTCGGTTCGACTGTTTCTGAAGTGGTTGAGATTTTGTTGCGAAAATGAAGATGGGCTATTTTCATGAACACAGGTATAGCTGGAGCACTCCAGCACTTTCTAATTTCTTACCTGCAATTAATTGTTAAATTATTGACTGACCTTTTCAAGTTGAGGATAATTGCTGATGTAGCCAAGTGGAGAAGACACAGCAGTGCATCACTCCTGGCTAATTGATTTGGCCGCTGCGCTCATGAACTTTTCACTGACATCAGCAGTGTGACAGCGAGTAATCACCCATCAGTTTTTGAGATGAGCGATTCTCTAAGGTGTCTATGAAATCCGAATGCTTGATTATGCTGAGAATCGGGCATAACCGAGCTCCACATACTGCCCCTCTCTGGCTGGAAGCAGAGCCGTCTGTGGGAGAGCTCATTCCAGGTCACCCACTCTCTGTGGGCGAGAGAGCGAGAGAGGGTGGAGAGTGCAAGAGAGGGAGGGAGACAAAGTAAAAAAAAAAAGGCAGACCAGAGAGAAAGGGAATATCTATAGCTCAGTAAGTGCCAGATATCACATTGCTGTGTTCCAGATAGAGAGCCTTGAATACATTTCAGTTTATTTTGTTGCCATTTATTGACAGAGTGATTCATTTCCTGAGCCTATATAAAGCCATGTACTGTAGCTACAATGAAGTGTCTTTGCTGTGGCAGCGCCTCGTCTGAGAAGAAAATGAACAGTCATTGTATAAAAGACAAATTCGTCCTGTATGCTTGCCTCTCCCTTGAGCTCATCGTGCAGCCAATTAAGCTGAAGGCAGCCCACCTACTTTCTTTACCAACCAGCTTACATCCATTTGTCTTCAAGTGTACACGTGAATCATGCTTTTGTGGAATTTCTATATTGTTTGCCTGACAATCAAAGTGTTGATGAGTGTCAGATAATGTCTAGTTTGTGCTCGGAAGAAGTTGCCAGTAAATTTAAATTAAATTAAATTTACAAAAAGCTGGGCAAGCATGTGTGGCTGCTGGAACTATGGTAGATGACCATGTGTGACAATCAGAAAAGAAGACAAGAAAGCAAATTCATAATGCTTTTGTTGAAAGCACATACACATTAACAGTAAAAAAAAAAGAAAGATAAAAATTACAACCCAAAGTGTGCCATTATTACTTGTTGTCATGGAAACAATGCAGTTTTGTTTTTTTTATTTAAAACACACAAAAAAAAATCAAGTTTACAGTTGACAGTTACAGGTTATAATAGACCAGCCAGCTAGCTGTGCAGCTAATCAGCAGCACGCGCTTCAAAAAGTTTCCATATTGCGTCACCGGTGCGCAGCTGCAGAGGGGCTGCGCGTGCCGGGTAGGTGCGATCAGTGGGGCTGACGTCTGTCGGTCTGAATGAGCGGCTGCCTGGTGTCCTGCACCAGGCACAGGTGTTTGTGAATGGGGACTTCGTAGTGACAAAGCACAAACCTTTATATATCTGTGTTGGGCGTGTCTGCCATAGCAAAAGTGGTGACACTGAAAAAGTCAGTTACCATGGATACAAAAATTGCCCACATCATTTTTTGTCAGAGGCCTTGTATAATCCCTTTCCTTTCCCTGTAATTTATTTTATTTTAGTTTTTATTTTTATTTTTATTTTTTTAATGTATTTATTTGTTTGTTTGTGTGCCCGCGTGCTGGTTTCTTAGCTGGAGCTGCTTTAATTGGACTCCTTTTCCCGTTTCCTCTGATTCATTCCAGGAATATTAGAGTGCGGGGCTTTGACTATTAGCCAAACAACATTAGTGAAATGAGCTTTTGTCTTGAATAATTATACACAGTGATAACAAAAGAGTTAGCACGCTGTTGACGCACTGCACAGTGATAATGGGTTCTTCCTTGTTTTTCAAATATTTTATAATCGCACTCGTGCTATGAGCTATTAGCAACACCCCTGTGAAATTTAATCAGAGGGCACAGATGAAGAAGCAAAAGGCGGCTCATTGTTTGAATGCTGGGAGCCAGACCTGAACTTGAGCTGTGTGTGTGTGTGTGTGTGTGTGTGTGTGTGTGTGTGTGTGTGTGTGTCCGGCACTGTCTGGGCGGCACGACATGCCTGGGTAACTTCTATTTAGCGTGCTGCTGGCCAATGAAAGATGCATGATGACTGAGACCGGCAGTTATAAATCTATTACATCAGCAGGGGTGCGTGTTCACGCTGTTGTAACTCTATTGGTTTCCCATCAGCTGCTTAAATACCCAGACTGCACACAGGACACTGTGCAGTCCATAGTCTAAATCACAGCCATCCTCAAGCCTGTGCGCATGCAGAATGGTCGCGTCCCCGAAATTACAACAGGGAGGTCTTTCAGGCATAAATTCCCTTGAATGAGATTAAGGAAAATACGGCTTTTAAAAGCTTATTTATGTGGTCAGGAGAGAAAAAATAACAAACGCATGAGTTTATTTCCTTGGCAACAGCCTGGTGTTTAAATATAGAATGAGACAATCGTACTCCATTGGGGCTATTTTTTTTTTGTCTTTTTTTATTTTGTTTAAGATACTAAGAATGAAAGTCATTGTTAATGGCATCACACAACGTACATCTCCCAAGGCAGTGTCTGAGTCTGGCCTGTCCCACCAGGATGCCTCTAATGGGTAAATAGCAGTGGGAGCTGGTGGTGGGTAGGAGAGTCTGAAAGCAGACCTATTATATTCGAAACCGGGATTTATTATTCCTCAAAAGAAAAAGAAAAAAGTAAGACCATTATCTACTTTTGTGTGGTCTTCTCCCTTCTTTTCCCCCCCATACCCGTGTTATGCAATCATGTATTTCTTTTATTCCAAGCCTGGGAGGCTCGAGCTCTGACGGAGGAGGATAGAGGACCTCAACAGGTGGAGATTTTTCTTCCTTTCTTTCCTTTTTTCGTTCTGCTAGGGATATAAGCGGAGGAGGTGGAGGAGGAAGAAGAGGGTAGTGAACTGTTCCTTAATAATAAGCCCTCTGATCTGCTTATGCTGCGCTGCTTCTTGCCTCAAAGGGTAACTAGGCTTATGACAGCCAGTCCTAGTAGAGCCCCGGCCTGCTAACATGACCCCATGCAGGATCTACACCATCTGTCTGCAATGGGACTCCAAGGCAACACTCAGAGGGAGATGCAGAGAGAGTGATGGAGGTGGGGGGAGGAAGAGAGAGAGAGATGGGGGGTGTCAGCGTTCCCCGAGGACCCCCTGTGCTTCAGTTTTGATCTGCTAATTATGTTCAATTGAGACTGTGTAATTCACTCGCGTTGCTTCTATTCCCCCTTATCTGAGCCGCGGCTCTTAACAAACTCCGGCGCTGATGAGAGAACATGACACACAATCAGCAATAAAAACGTTTTCCGGTGCGGTAATTTGTATTTGTTTATTTATTTATTTTTAAGGGCTCTGCGTTTTAATTGTGAGGAAGAGTTGAGGTGTCTGCAGGGGGACCAATAGATTGGGTTATAACAGTTGAGCGGATATTGAAATGTTTTATCTGCGCGCAGCTGAAGAGCAGAGGAGGCGCGACGCGGCGACTTCTTTGACGCCGAGACAGTCGTCACAAACACACGCGCGCGCGCGCGCAATGACACCGGCATCCAGGAACAAACACGCGCGCGCGGCTTCGCTTTAGAGAGATGGCACCAGGTGATGCCATAAACGACGGATGATGCTGTGCGCCATACCCCCTCTCGCGCTTTCGTTTCTTTTTTTCTGCCTGGGAGAGGACGCACGAGGGAAAGGGAACGACCCGGAGAGGGAGAAAACACGACCAGGACAGACAAGGAAGCGACATGTCAGTTTTAACGAGCTGTGAAGTTGGAGTCGCTCTTTTTTTCTTAGGGGGGTAGACATGGCGAAATTTCCCTAGCACGCTCCTTCTTAACTCCCCACATATCTTTTTTTTTTTTTTTCGTTTTTTTATAATGGGAAGATGAAGTCACCCAAGTCTGCACCCCCTCACCACTGCCTCCTCTACCCCTTATATGTTTAATTAACTAGGCTGATGTGTAAGTACCTTCAGCTAGCGGAGCGTGGGCGGCCGGGCTGCTGCGGGGTAAAGACACTGTCGGGAGAATATTTCCTTCTTCCTCTCCGCCCGGACGGCTCGGTCGGCTGCCGAGCGTCACCTCGGTCGTGCGGCGCGGAAAGCTACAAAAATAACTCGACCCGTTTGAACTTGTTCCGAATTGTTTAGGGCGGCTTGGAGTGCGGTGCTCGTCGGAGAGCGCGTGAGGGGAGCAGCAGCAGGAGGAGGAGAAGAGGGGGGAGAGAGGGAGGGCAAGTGAGAAAAGATAGGGAGAGAGAGAGAGTGTGTGAATATATATGTATGTGTGTGTGTTTTGATGTTATTTGTGACGGAATCCCCCCCTTCAGTCTCCAAGAATCCGCGAGCGGCGCAAGGAGGAGGAGGACAGGAGAGGAGGAGGAGGAGGAGGCGCGCGGACCTGTCCACGAGCCCTCACTGCGGAACGCGCGGGGCTGCCGCTGGAGATCCCAAACCAACGGTTATTTTGGATTCTAGAGTCTAACTGATCCCCGCGCGCCAGGGGGCTTTTTCCCCCACCCCGTCTCTCCCGTTGAATGGACGGCGTTTGACATCTAAACCGAGAGGAATACTACCTATCTACGGGTGGGAGAGGTGGCGGTGGAGGGGGGAAGTCTTCAGAACCAGACAGGTGGATTTATCCGTGTGGTTTCGTTTTTTGGGGAAGGGAAATTGAATGGAGGAGAAATTGATGGATTAATCTGACGGAGAGTCGTATGCGATTCCCACTCCTGCCGAGGGCACCCGAATGGAGTAACAGGCTGCAATGTCATCTCCACCTGGCCGCCTGGAGAGATGTGTCACGGGAATGGGGTGAGCGTAATTAGTGTTTTCTTTTTTATTTAATTTTTTTTAGGTTGGGTCAAAACTAACTCTGTCACCAAAGACGCGGAAAATGAGCGGCATTTGTCGGGATCCGGTGGTTTTAATATCTGCCGCACTCTAGCTCTCCTTAAAGTGGAACAGCGGCGGGGTGGTGTGTGCCTGGTTCGGGTTCCTCCGCGCTCTTACGCTTGTCCGAGTCCTCGTCACACAACCTGCTGCATGCCCTACATAAACGAAGCCCGGCACCGGAGAGAGGAGCGTGAGGGGAATATTCGCCAAAGAGCCACAGGCTGTTTTTACTCCGTCGTCCCCCCCCGATCGCTCTCTCTGAAACACACATACAAGCACACGCGCGCGCACGGAGGGAGAGAGCACTAATTCGTCCTTTTCACCGTAGCCTACACCTATGATATGAACTTGTGTTTTCGTCACGGCGAGCTTTTCCCTCCAATAATCCCCCAATAGAGAGACGCAGGCACGCACGCACTTCTGCTCCGACTCACACAAACATATAACCACGCACGCGCGCGGAAACAAAAAACACGCAGACAGCTAGCTGGTATTTGATGCTGTTCAAACTGTTAAAATGCTAATGAGGTGCGAGAAGTAAAACGACATTGGTTAAAACTGTTTATAGCTCACATAAGCACCTGCCTGTACGCTCGCGCCTATTTATAGAAAAGCGACAAAGTCATCAAGTCCTGGGAGCTTGCGGCGCAGTGTTAAAATCTGGTATCTTTTCGTTTCTTTCTTTTTTATTTTCAGATCAAGTTTGAACACTTTTCCTCTGGTTTCACCGACGCCGTGAGAAGGAACCAAAATGCCAGTAAACGGACAGGTCACGGTGGCTGCCCGCACGGGCCCTCGCACCACGGCAGCACAAGTCAACATTCATCGCACGGACTCCGCAGAAGAAGGCGCAAAACCTCCGCGAACACAACCCCGCAGCAGCCGCGCTTTGTGACACCGAAGGTAAGGACAGCTGCGTTCAAGGAGAGAGCGACGCTCTTCTTTTAGACGGAGCGCCGAGCGACGCTAAGCGGCGCTGTTGCATCACATTATCCCCCGGCTGCTGATGAGAAGCCATGTAATGAATTCATATCTCAAATTACAGTTTTCAGGCTTTGAATGCAGTCACGTTGTAGAAACACATTTTCTTCCGTTTTCCTCCTGCTTGGCGTGCCAAGTCTGACACACAAAGTGTCTTCTCCTCTTCTCAGGGACACTGAGGCCTTCACACGAACGCGCACGCACGCTCATGGACATGCACACACATAAACACACACAGATGTTACACGGGGGGGGGGGGTAAATATAAGAAAATAGGAGTGTGACGTGACAGGATGACAGGATGTATAGCCCTGAATGGCCATAAATCTTCATCATGAATGATCCCCATCGTTCCTGTTGGCAAACGGATGCCCTCAATTTTGACTACTTAATATTATGTATGAATGAATGCACATTTATCATAATCATTTAGAGCAAATTATCATCCGTGCTGCGCCAGACTCATTGTGGTGTTGTAGAGAACTGAGAAGAGAGACTGATGTTGTGCTCAGCAGTAGCCTATTTTCCTGAATAGTGGGATGACACAAAAGGAGATCAACTCTGTAGGGCATAAACGCAATAGAGTGGGGAGCAGAGAATGTCGAGTGCTGTTGCTACCTTCATTAATATAAATATCTCGTGCAAAGCAGCAATGAATTCTGGGTGTGATGTCACAGCACCTTTTAAAAAAGCTCAACAGTATTTTATAACAGGCCTACTTTTCTATTCACTTTCTGTCTTGTTGTTATCACTCCAGAGAGAATTTCCTGCTCAGTTGGGCCTTGTATTTTCATCGCTTTGCAGTCTGCTATTAACCAACTACTGAGACAAAGCTAAACAGGAAAGACCTTAAAAAAATCTCTGTGATGTGATGCATACCATATTCTGAGTCCCATTTGGGCTCCGGGATGACATAGTGTTGAAGTGATGTGTCGAGATGCATCTGACTGAGCTGTGCACTGAACCGGCTCCATTGTTGGACAAGCAGGTAAAGTACATCAGAACTCATTGCGTCTAAGCTTCTTGTCAGCGCTGTCAGAAGTGAGGCCCTGTTGTTTTGGATTTCCGCAGTTAAATCGATTTTAATTTCTCCTTTTTTAATGTGCCAGTGCCAACATGTTGTTGTGCTGCCTGTAACAAGGCAGGCCCCTTGGGGATTATTTTGGTGGCACCTAAGTGGAACTGGCTTTCTCTCCCCATGGCTCTGCTGAAGCACAAATGTACTACATTTACACAGGGATTCGGAGAGGTTTCTTGCATCAGAGGGGCTGCAGGAGGTGTGCCTTCACACTGCTCTGTGTCAACCAGGGCTCTGTGTTTTGGTTTTTAATATTGTGCGAGACATTTTTAGAGTCAGAGCCCAAATTAAGCCCAAAATCTACATATGCCTGCAAGTGTGGGAAAGGTTCAGGGAGCGATCATGCAGAAGTCTTTCTTTTCATGAAAGATACATAGAGGTCTTTTTTTTTTTTTTTTTACCTCTGTTGAACTGCGAGATATACTGAAATGATCCAAAACTATGCAATTATTATTGTGCATTTACTGTGATGTGGTCGTACCACCAGAATGGCTTTGTGTGAAGATTGACTCTTTGATTATAACACTGACTGAACTGTACAAATATTGCTTTGGTGCCTCTCAGGTACTAGATACTGTGTTTTTATTTTTAAGTTTTTACTCATATGGTCTCTTTTTCCTGCAGTTTAGTGGATTTTAGGTAGGAGTGCTCACACAAGACTGCAACCTTGAGCATTATGAGAAAAATTACAAAGATACTTACAAAAAAAACAAAAACAAAGGAGAAGAAAAGCCAGGGAAACTTGTGGGTGGAATTATTTACCTTCCTGCCCTGTGTTGTAGCTGTATTTGTCCAGAAGAAGGTATGACATATCCCGTGATAGGAGCTACAGCAAATAATCCTCTTATGTGCACACTGTTTTTGTTTGGAGGTCCCTATCTAAGTTGACAAACTGTGGGTTTAAGGTTTTCGATGTCGGAATTCTGCCTACGACATTAACAGCCAAGCCACGTGCAGCCACCGAGCCTCTGGCGTGGCCTTTTAGCTGTTATCTGCTGAGTGAGTGCTTTCTTCAAAGTCAATTAAACCCGCTGCTGGGCCTGCACTTTGTTACTTCGGATATTCTCGTCGCAAGAAAACATCCGCGGTCGAAATTTGGTTACACGCGACCCGGCGGCGGACAGTTTGAACCCATTTTCTTGTTCACCCCTAGAATAACGAAAAAGCCAGTGCCTTTTTGTAAATACAATGGCAGTTCAGATTCGTCTTACACCGAGGGCTGAGAGGATGAAAATGAGTGTTTTCATTTTCCTTTTCTTAGCCATTTCCAGTAAAAGGGACAGAGTGACATATGATAATGAGTATTTTGACCCCTGCTGATCTTCTGTACATTGATGTGTGATAGTGCAGTCTCAGATGCAAGTTAATAACCCAAACGCCTCTTACAAACGTGCACTGTTTAATCATTTAATCAAAACACAGCTGGTACTCTCATTTAAAGAGTTAGTGAGCCATGTGTGATATTAAGTAGGGTTTGACTAATACAGGTTTTTGAACCGATCATTTTTAAATCAAGCTGACAGTAGATGCCATTTCGTAGAACCACTGCGTGCCTTAACACACTTTTCTGGTGTGTGAGAGTCCCTGCTTTAACATGATAGGCCCAAAAGTTGCTAGTGGTGATAAATTTATCGCCTAACCTAAATTTTTCTAAATGTTATATGAATTCATAACTAATAATAAGAGACATGACTGCATCATTGTTGCGGTTACCAGTATTGCGAGTCGAAGCTGTAGCCCTACAGTTTAGATTCTAACTGAACCTGGTGGCAGTTTGACCTGCCTATGTGCCTGTGCCTAATGGTTATAGCTGGTGCACGACATCTCTAGTGAATTTTTAATGGTTTTAAAGTGTTTCCATCTGCTTCAGATTTCAGATAAGTCTTATCCAGTTTCAGCGCAGTCTTTCAGAACTTTATGGATAGGATTTAAGTAATCGGATTGGAATAAATCTTAAAATTGGCGTTTTTGTTTGTTTTTTAACCTGATAAATCATATTCTCATTGCTCAGGCGAGGATTTGGATTTGAGAATGAAAAACCCACCTTTAATCAATCTCAAAACTTGAATCTGTGTTTTTCATGACTCAAAGGCAGATAGTTGTGGTGCTGGAAATCGAGATAATCTTCATCCTGCTTGAGAGGTGCTTTCGGGGTGGATTTAGAGACGTGACAAGCATAATAGGGCTGTAACCAAGAAATTGCCATCTATACATCTTGAGAAGAATTAGCATTTCATGATTCTATTTTCATCAGCAAACCTGTCAAAACAGTTTCATCCCAAATGTCTCTGTTGCAGATGGAGGGACCAGCTGGATAGTCCATCAAGTGGCCTTTCAATTCCTTTATTTTTTTCTATAGATGTCTTCATGTAGACTGCTATACTGCATTAACATTTCAGTAATACAATTAGAAATCATAAAAGTAATTTTATTTTTCATTATGGTTTAACGACACCATCCATGCTGCCGTATTCACTTTACCTTATAACAGCGGTTCATGCCATTTTCACTTTGTCCATACAAATAGTTTTAGCTGAAAAACAATCTGTTATTATTAACATTTTATATTGAGCTTGTAGTGAGATAAGGAGGGGTGGGATGTTAAGTAATTTATAACTTTTATTGAGCTGTATTGACAGGGCTGCAGGAACGTCAATACATCTCAGCAGTTTATCACTGAGCGAAACATAACAGTCATACTCTCCCAGTAAAAAGTGAAGGGAGTCCAATTCTGGGGAGAGACTCAACAGAACAGTTTTTAATAGGTAAAAAAATGTCTTAATAGAACGGCTCTGCCAGGCCCCTTATCAATCTGAGGCGAATCTTGGTTGTCAGTGCTGGCCACCATCTCCAAGCAGCCCAATGCCAAAGACTCTATATAAAAGATGGATGTAACATCTGGGTCTGAAAAGGGAAGACAGTGTTGAAGGGCTTTAAGGGGGTCGACTCTTTTGATTGCAAAAAGAAGTTTGTGAAAAAAAAGACCTTCCCATTTATCTATGACCTCAGTAAACTCTTTCCCTGATAAATTTATGATGTCATTTAGTGATGTGTTGTTCACAAATGACTCTAAGAGCCGATTGTAGCGCACGAAAAGAGCCGACTCCGTCGGGCAGAGCCAAGTCTTCAGCCCTTCCTGCTCAGGGCTGAGCATGTGGCCAATCACATGCAAGGACAGACAAGAATCACACTATTGTGTGAATATCATGTAGTGGGACAGGTCAGGTACACAGAGAGACAGGAAGCTGGATTTAAATCCAAGTGCATCAGGACAAATTGAAGAAACAAGTGAAAACTGTTGTGTTTGCGTCTCTGTCAGATTCACTCGCTCATGACTTCACCCAAAGACAGGACTTTACTAACCAATGAGGGATGGCAATGGCTATGCGCATCTTTTATATACAGTCTTTGTTCAAGGACCTGAAACTGGCTGATAAGTAAAACGTATTGTTAAAGCAGCGTTAATTTTGGGGGACGGGGGTGTACTTGCCCATAGCATACGGTAAATTTCTGCAAAAACAATATTAATAAATTAGCACCTTCCAATGTTATAGTGGACATGTTAGCAAACAATTGCTTATTAAGAAATCCAGCAGGCATGGATCAACATAAACGTTCATGTTGAGAGGTGCCTCCAGCTACTTAATGAAGTAAGAATGCTCCCTTTTTAATGACTGTTTTCAATTACAGTAACTCCCTAGCGAAACACACTGTATATGGCACTAGTTAGAGTCACTACCGCGAGGCTGAGAGCACTTACTGGATTTATCTGATGTTTTTACTGAAAAAAACAAACATCAAACTGCCTGTTCTCGCTGGAAATCTAGTTGATGAGTGGAGAGAC